TGGGAATATACTTATTTACATGTTGATTTATATACCTGGAGGTCTCTGTGTTTTAGGAGGTGGCAGTCACTAAACATTTATTAAGTGCCTATTATGTACCAGGCTCTGCACTAAGCACTGGGGATACAAAGAAAGGTAAGAGACAGTCTCTGCTTGCAAGGACCTCACAATCTAATGAGGACATAACTAGGCAAAAAAAGTTCTGTACAGGATAACAAAGAAATAATTGATAGAGGGAAGGTCCTAGAATTAAGACAGTCTGGGAAAGGCTTCCTATAGAAGATAGTAGGTTAGTTGGAACCTAAAGAAAGCCAAGAGCTGGCAATGAGAAGGGAGAGCATTCCAGACATGGGAAACAGAGAACTGGAAAAACAAGGGAGGGGCATCCAGGTGGTGAAAGGTTATAAATGCCCAATAGACAACTTTATATTTGATTCCTGTTGAAGGAAATGTTTTCTGATAACATGGATATTTTTAAAAACTAATTTTCTGACATATACCACCAGTACTAAGATTAGCCATCTTGTATCTCTACTACATATATAGTACAAATTTGGACACATAAATCCAGTTACATGAAAGTCCTAATTATTTGAGATGTTATTCATCTTTTAGTAAACATTTCCAAATTCAGAATCCAAAATTATTACTAAAGATAATCATTTGTTTGCATTTTTAAAATCTTCTAGGAGAAGGATTAAAGAGGCAGCTTAATTAGGCAGCTGGGTGGCTCAGTAGATAGACTGCTGGACCTGAAGCTAAGAAGACTTTAGTTGAAATTCAGCCTCAGACACGTAACAGCTGTGTGACCTTGGACAAGTCACTTAACCTCTGCCCAATCTTCTTCCACAGCAAAATGAGGATAATAAAAGCACCTTGGAATTAAGGTTAACCCTCAAAGGGTTTTTGTGAGGATCAAATGAGATAATTTTTGTAAAGGGCTTAGCACAGCACACAGCACACACCAGGCATCACATAAACACTTAGTCCCTTCCCGTTCCCCACCTCTCCAAAGAGGGTAAAGAGCACTGGATTTAGAGGCAGCTGTCCAAGGTTCCAAACTTACCTCCAAAGCGTACTAGTTACACGACCCTGGGCAAGTCATTTACCTTCTCAATGCTTTAGGTTTCTTGAAAACTGTAGGTTGAAGAGCAGGTGCCAATCTGCACTCTTAGAAAGGATTTTCTGGCTTGGGAGTTCCCCATGGCAACAGGGAAGGTCTGGTCTTTATCCTTATCCTACCTACTGCACAGAGTTTCTGTGGAGAAACTGCTTTTTTGCAACCTTAAAGTGCCATATAAATGAAAGATGATGGCAGCAACATCTTTTTCTGTTCTCTTTTCGAGTCCTTCACAAATGTCAGTTTCCTTTCCCACCCCCTTCATATTTCCAACACCAGCTGGAGACATTGTACTACAAGAGAAAATAGCCTGAAGACATTAGGTTTAATAGTCTCTGAGGAAGCCTGCAGCTTGCCAGGAATTTAAGGTTGTTTTGCTTTGTTTCCTTTTAGAGGTAAATTTTTAGCCAATTTATGAGTCCTGTTGGATTGGCATAGATGCATGATCTAGAAAACTAAGGAGGCTTTTTGTTATTTTCTGAAATCACCACCTAGTTTGCCACCAGAATTGAAGATATTGACAAATATTTTCAAATCACATAATATTCAAACTATTTGGAAGAATGTCTATTTATTGCTCTCCACGGAATTCATTTTACCCATGGTGCTGGAAAGAAATGAATTGGTCTTGGTGGATCAGAATCTCTACAGATAAATTACATTGGAGGCAGGGCCAGGAACACAAAGAACTTAGAAGCTGCTCCCTGGAAGGAAGGACAGGATGTGCCCAGAGTGACCTGAGCTCAATCAGGGGGTTTTATCACTGACCCCTGGACAGACTGGCTACCCTGCCTCTACAAGTTGGCAGCCCCATAGCTGCCAAGAGCACTAATCTTAGTGTCAGGAGACCTGGGTTCAAATCCCATTTCCAACACTTGGTAGTTGTGTGAACCTACTGGACAACTCATTCCTCTTCTGAGAAGTTCAGTTTGTTCGCCTATAAAACAAGGTTGGACATGATGGTCTCTGAGTTCCCTTCTGGCTCCAGGTCTATCAGCCTCAGATGTGAAGTAAGAGAGGTAAGATTATGACCCAGGTTCTCTGACTGCAAATGCAGGGCAAGCTTTTCTCAACAACTACTTAATTAGGAGCAAGCTTCAACCAGTAGCCAGAATAACCTTCTTAAGGCACATCTGATTTATTCTCTCTCTCTCTCTCTCTCTCTCTCTCACTCACACACACACACACACACACACACACACACACACACACACACACACACTCACTCTCTCTCAAAAACTTTCTGGGTCTCCCTAATATTTACAAAACAAAATGCTACATTCAAGGGCCTCTATTTTTTTGGTTCTGACCTCTCCCACGTCCAGACATTTGTATACCTGGAATGAACCTGTGTCCACATCTGTGCCGGTTGAAACCCTTTTATTTCCTTCAAAGCCCAGCTCATGTCCAGCCTCCTCTTCCATGAAGCCTTCCCTGACTTTCCCCAAAAGAAGGAATTGTTACATCCTGGAATCTCTCAGGCTGCTTGATTTGACTTCTCCTATGCACTTGGTGATTTTCTCATTTGTTGGACAGTGTCTAAAGCTCACTCCCAGAGTGAGTCTATAAGCTCTCCTAGAAAGCAGTGACTATTATAGCAATAACCAGTTTCATAATTTAATTTTAAAAATTAATTTATTATTTAATTATTAAGTAATTCAGAAAATCTTTGATTTGAGGGCAAATAGACTGCAACATTCAATAGAATCAGAGTTTCATAGAATTATAAGTTTGGAGCAGAAAGAGATCTTAGAAGCTGTCTAACCCAACTCTTCATTTTACCATTGAGGAATGAAGGTCCAAACATTAAATGGCTTCCCCAAGGTACCACAGGCAGTAGATAGCAGAGCTGGGAATCAATCTCAAGTTCTCTGACTCCAAAATCAGCATACTTTTTTAAGATGCTAGGCTGCTTCTGTGTGAGTACTTCCTCCCTTCCTCCATCCATTCATTCAACAAACATTCATTTAGCACCTACTATATACACAGACAAAAAAATAGGAAATGGTCCCTTTATTGCCCTCTAGAACCTTACATTCTACTAAGACTATGGAAACAACATGGACATTGACATGTAAATATGAGATATGTATGGAATAAATGAACACTGGCTCTGGAGTCAAAAGTTTTTTGTTGTTATTTAGCCATTTCAGTCATGTCTGACTCTTTGTTACCCCATTTGGAGTTTTCTTGGCAAAGATACTGGAGTGGTTTGCCATTTCCTTCTGTAGCTCATTTTATAGAAGAGTAAACTGAGGCAAAGAGGGTCGAGTAACTTGTCCAGGAACACAGAGCTAGAAAATGTCTGAGGTCATATTTGAACTCAGGAAGATGATTCTTCCTGACTCTAGGCATCACTCTCTATCCACCCCGCACCACCCAGCTGCCCCAGTGTTGATGATGATGATGATGATGATGATGATAACTAGCATTTATATAACACTTTAAGGTTTGCAAAGAGCTTTACAAATATTATTGCATTTTATTGTGACCACAACCCTGGGAGGTAGATGCTAGTATTATCCTCATTTTATAAATAATAATAATAAGAGCTAACACGTATACAGCACCTACTATGTTTAGGCACTGTGCTAAGGGCTTTACAAATATTATCTCATTTGATCCTCACAACAACCTTGGGCGGTAGGTGCTACTATCATCACCCTTTTGCAGATGAGGAAACAGAGGTTAAGTGACTTGCCTACAGTCACATAGTTAGTAAGTATCTGAGGTCTGATTTGAACTCAGGTTTTCCTAACTCCCTGTCCAGCACTATTTGATTGAGATAGATAGTTTCCTTATTAGGCATAACCTACTGCACCAACAAAATCACAGGTCAGGCACAAAAGAAGAAATGATTTAAAACAATTCAAGTTGGATATTCCCTAACAACTGAAAAAGTTGTGAAGCCCATAACTCCAAGGCACAGAGTATCATTACAAGCTTCTTAAGCAGCTCAAGCCTCTTTTCCCCACTGTAAACTCTCTGGCCTCTTAAGCCAAGTGGGAGAGCATCAAGACTCAGAAGGATCATGAAAGTTTTAAGTTGATTCATTCGCTCAAGAAACAGTCTTTGAAAGTTGCAATGTATAATTGTTGCACTGCTGAAACTCTGAAAGAAATATTTAAAGTAATAATTTATTCTATTTCTGAAATCTTATGAAGTTCTGAAGAAGCCTTTTTTTCAGTTTAAATAATCTGAAAGAGCAGTGAAATCCACTTGAGTTTTTAAGCCTTGTGGATCCTCAGGCATAGAGGAAAGGCATAATCATATGTCAGTCTATATTAAGACCTTCTTCACAGAAAGAATCAGAAGCAGCAATGCTGGGCACCCTCGGTGGTGGCAAGTTCCCAGGAAGCCATGAAGAAATGGAATTCTAAGCATTGGACTTAGAAAACCTGGAACACAAATTGGGGAGACCCCAGGAAAAAGAGATATGAGACCACTCCCCAGGAGGGCATCTCTAGCTCTGGGTTCCAATTTAGCCACTAGGTATCATGTACCATGTGTCTGGGACCCTTTTTATTATTGTTAATAATTTGATAATTATGATAGTATTGTGGGGTAGTAGAAAGAATGCTGGGTTTGGTTTGGGAGTCAAAGAATATGAGTTCAAATGCTGACTTTGGCAAGACTTTGAGCAAATCCATGTAGCTCTCTGGGACTCCCCACCCTGAACCAGATTTTCCTTCTCTAATGCCATAGAGAAGCCTTTCAGTTCTTTAAAGGGGCTCCCAACTACCTCCTTCTCCCAAGCAGAGGACTTTTAGCCCAAATGACCCCAATACCAAATGTTCCAGAGTTCAGGTGTCTCTAATCTCCACATCCAGGCACACACATAGTTTTATTTTCTAAAACAAAATGGCACCTGCTTGCTTACCTATGGTGATCTGGCTGACACAGCTGTAGTAACTTCCTGTTGTTGCACTGGAGAGGTTGTAGCTCCCGCTGCTGACCTCTTTGTCTGTAGAAAAGAGAGAGGGTGAGTCAGCATAGGTTACATGGCTTGGCTGAGAAACTAAAGACCAGGGCCTGAAGCTTCATACAGGGAACTCCCAGGAGAGGAAATTCTCTCTACTAATGCAAGTTGCCACCTTCTATGCAATTTAAAGTCTCAGAGAGTTGCCTAGAGCTCTGAGAAGTTTGATGACTCACACAGCCAGTGTCTAAAACCAGATTTGAACTCAGGAAGATGAGTCTTCCTGATTCCAGGCCCTGCACTCTATGCACTCTGGTGCCACCTAGCTACCCTGATTGTTATATTATAAATAAGAGAAATGATGTACACAAAACCATAGACACAGCTAAGTAAAATATACCCAAGACACGCCAGGCATAAGAGCTGACGTGAAGAATTCTTCCCCTGAGGCAAAAAGCAATGTAGGGGTGGAGGTAATGTCAACACAGAACAGAGGAGATGGTCCAACCAATAAATTGGAGAAGGCTGCCCCACATGTACCCCCATGCAGCAATCGAGAAGGAAAGAAAAATGGCAGAATAGAGATGATACCCTGGGCCATGGGGATAACAAACTTTAGAACTCCCATGGGATGCAAATATGACCTTGGAAGGAAGTGCATCACCATGCTCACATGACAAAGCCCCTGTTTTCCTGAACTGGTTACACATTTGAAATGTGTTTTTGTAGAAGGAACATGGGGCAGTAGATGACTTGCTTCACTCATAATCAAGAGGACCCAGGTTCGAATTCTGCCTCTGCTAATTATTGACCAAGTGACCCATGGCCAAGTCACTTCATTTCTCTAAAATTAAATTTCCTCACATGCAAAATGGGAATAAAATAACTCTGGGATCTATTTCACAAGGCTGTTGTGAGGATCAATTGAGGAAAAACTATATGAAGTGCTTTGCAAACTTTACAGCCTTATATAAATACTAATTTTTATTGTTTGCTTATATAGCATCTGTTAGGCAACCATAAGTCATAAGTTTACTAAGTTAGAAGGAAGAGAGTTGGTAAAGGGCCCTGAGGGTCAGATAGAGTAGCTAGCATTTGATACCATAGGTGGCTATAGTAGCCTCTTGCATAGGGGAGGAAAAGAAAATGGAAAACTGGGAAAACTACTCTAGCAGCTGTATGTGACACAGGTCACCTCTCATTTATACAGTTCTACTAACCAACAAAGTTCAGACCAAAAACATCTCTGCTGAATAACTAATCTTAAAGCTGTCAGGCCCCTGACTTCTTAGCTAATCCTTCACTGGTGAATTGTGTTTGAAGTCCTTGCCACATGAATGGTTTTTCCCTCCCAAGAGAAAAGGTTGATTGGTAGAGGTTACAAGGAGAAAGACAAGTCCTGCACAGAGCTCATCATCTAAGGGCTCCCACCCCTCCCTTCCTCCAAAACTTGCCTTTTTATTGCCACCATCCTCGACAACCAAAATTCCACCTTTGGATCCTCTGTCTCACTCCCCCTCCAAACTCAGTTTTCAAGTCCAGCTGATTCTGCCTCCATAACATCTCTTATATCAGGCCCCATCTTGTCACTCACAAAACCAAGCAGGAGAAAGTAAGCCCTTGTTGTAATAGGGATTCCTGTTTTACATAGGTTAGACTAGGTGATCACTGAGGTCTTTTCAAATTCTCAATTTCTATGATTCTATAAGCCCCTGGAGGGCAGGTACTTTTTTTTTATTTTTGTCTTTGTGTCCCTAGGCCCTAGTATACTGTCTGGTATAAAGAGTTCTGAGTACTGTGCTAGAGGCTGGGGACACAGAGACACCAGTCAATTGGTCCTGCTATCAAGAAGCTTACATTGTACTGAGACAATACATACATGTTTTGGGGGCTGCTGCCTTCTCCCTCTCCCTACCCCCACCCCATACACACACACATACTACATACACAGAGATTTCTAGTTACATCCAGTGCACCATAGAGAAGTTACTTCTATGTGGCCATGATTCACTGATGTGTTAAGTCCCCATTACCAGCTACTGAATTGATACTCTGAATGTATCAAAGGAGTCACCCATCCCCTCAAGCTGTTCATTTTCCTTCAGGCTTCAAAATGGGAGAGCAACTCTAAACTGTCCAGAGGGTCCAATGAGGGTCCCTTCACACTACGAGGTCACAATCTGTGAACATATGTCACGATGAGCCAAATCTGTGCCTGGGATGCGACTATCCCATTTTGTATCTTCTTTCCTTTGTTATAGGGCTTTATGAGAACACAAAGTGCTTGGCGTCTCATGGTGTCAGAAGTGGCATCTCCCACTAGCAAGGTATCAGTAATTTCATGCCACAAAATAGAAATGGCTACAGCAGAGGGAAGCACCTTCAAAACAGAGTTCAACCATGACTACAGTACCTTAGCCAAGGGAGGAGCCAGGCTTGGAGGGAGGGAACCATAACAATCAAACTCAGCTGACTGACTGAACAATTCCACCTGAGGTGAAATATAACATGGTAATGAGCAGTCTTGCAAAAACTTTGTATGTCTCAACAAGACTTGAATATTGACCTCCCAGGTGACTAAGCTAGGAGCAAAAAGTGAGTTACTGAATTCTGTTTTGATCATTCTGTAACACACTTTCTTTGAGTAGGAACAAATCTTGTATCCATTCTTAATTCATATGTATGCATTAAGTTTCTTTTATTTTCTCTCTTTTTGGGGAAACCCCAGATTAGACCCAAAAGCAATACTCTGCCCCCTTCCCCAGTAGCCTAGGTAGGAGCAATGAGCCAACCTACGTGAGAATGGAAAGCCTATTCCTTCAACTAGAGGTCAGTTTCCTTTGGAGCTGACAAACCATGAAGACAGATAAAAAACAGCAAGTAACTGAGGTCTCCAATCCCTGTGGTCTCAGTTACACAGTCCCTCTACCTCCTGTGCTAGATACATATGTAATTATATGTAGGATATATACAAAATAAATTGAAATAGTTTTGGGAAGGAGAGAACTAGCTGCTGGGAGGAATCAGAAAAGTTTTCATGTAGAAGGTGGTCCTTATGCTAGGTCTTGAAGGGATTCAAAGAGACAGAACTGAGGAAGATGCACATTCCAGGTGTGAAGGGCAGCCAATGCCAAGGCATACAAGTAGGAAATGAAATACCCAAAAGAGGGAAAATCAAGTACGCCAATATGGTGAGAACTCGGAGTCAAGAAGACCTGGTTTTAAATCCCGCCTCTGATATTGACTAGATGTGTTACACTAGGTAAATCACTTTGCCTCTCTGGGTCTCAGTTTCCTCATTGGCAAAATGAAGGGGTTTGACTTGGTGGTCTATAAGGTGGTCCCTTCTAGTTCCAGAACTATGGTCTTATGATTCAGTGAACAAGTCTCATAATAGAGAAGAAAAATAATGGACAGTTCTTGGGGGAAAAGAAAGTAAATAGACTAAGGAGCAGCAGAGAGGATGTTAGTGTGTAGGGAGCAGATATTGGAAACCTGAGCAATGTAGGGGATACAAAACATGAATGAAGAATGAAAAGTCTGGATGTTTATGAAGAGACCTAAATGAAGATTGATTTGGTTGAAAGGGTAAGCTCCATCTACCATTTTGGCAACCATGGGGTTAAAAAAAACAGAGAGTGTGTGCAATGTTGAGTGAGGGATAGGGAGAAGAGGGAGGGATTCTATTTATTGGAATTAAATGGAATTGTTTGGTTTTGTTTGGTTTTTGTTTTTTTTTGGTTAGGCAATGGGGTTAAGTGACTTGCCCAGGGTCACACAGCTAGTAAGTGTTATGTGTCTGAGGCCAGATTTGAACTCAAGTCCTCCTGAATCCAGGGCCGGTGCTCTATCCACTGCGCCACCTAGTTGCCCCAATTAAATGGAATTGATAGGTTTCATGGCATCAAAGGGCCATCTATTCTATGAAACACTCCCAAACCCTCTGAGGATAAGCTCCTGCTAAAGAGAAACCAGCCATAAGTTGGATTTGGAACAATTCATAGACTGTAAGAGTTTTAATGGACCTCCAATGCCACCTACTCCAATGCTTCTCATTTTACAGATAAGAAACTGAGACCCTAGATGTTAGGTGACCTGCCTAATGTCACACAGGTATGTCAGGAATAGAGTTAAAAGGGACACTAGAGGCTATCTACTCCAACCCTTTTCCCACTTCCATTTAACAGATGAGGCAAATAGAACCCAGAGCCACAAGACGTTGGCAGTAATGATGATTATGGTGGTAGTGGTGGTAGTAGTAGTAGCAGGAGGAGGAGGAGGAGGAGGAGGAGTAGGAGTAAAAAGAGGAGGAAGAGGAGTAGTGGAATTAGGAGTAGTGGTGGTGGTGGTGATAGTGGTGGTGGTGGTGATAGTGGTGGTGGTGGT